AGCACGGTGTATGTTGTCATTAGCACTTCTTGTTACAGCTGTTTTGGGGTTTTGCTTACTCATTAGGATCTGATTGAAAGACGGTCTTTCCTTTCTTCTGTAACATTAACAAACACAGTTAATGAGGGTATGGAAACAGAGGTACTATAACTCAGCCTGCAGGACTGGAGCCATGTCCAGGCTGACTGCAGTGGGAAAGGAGGTAACTTTCTGCTTTTCTGCTATTGCTACAAGCTCAATGAAAGCACAAGAAGTCTGAGATGCTGCAGAACAAACACTGAGCTGGTGGCAGGAGCGAGGTGTGTGTTCCAGCAGCCATCCACGTGCAGGCTTCCTGCTGCCTCTGCTGTGCCTGAGCATCTGAGCAGCTGGGCCACCATTCTTAGGGAGAAGGAACTCCTGAACATGGAATGTGCATTCAAACCCCAAAGATGCGATCCCTGTTTTGTCCCAGCTGTAGCTTCCTATGCTCGGGCCCTGATTCAAATCCTGCTAGAACAAATAGGGCGACTTTCATTAACTGCAGAAACCAGATCTGGCCCTAAAAGACAGACAAAGACTTGTGACACGCCTGCTCCTGGGGAGGCTTTTATGCCTTCAGCTATCAAATGTGCGCTCTGCTGAGCAGCAGCATTAAAGTTTCATGGCCCGCCGGGATCTCTGTTTCCTGATGGCCACGTGTGCTGCCTGGCTGCAGCCCTGGCTGCTCCCCATGCTCTGCTGCTCCAGAGGGATGGGACCCCCGTGCAGCCCCCATCAGAGGGTCTGCAGCACGTGTCTGCCAAAAGCCAGTGTTTAGGTTATGCTTCAGGAAACCTGCTTGCTTTTTTTTTTTCCCTCTTCTCAGAGGTTCTGAGGCCAAGTTCAGATGGCATTCATTAAACTATTGTATATTAAACAAATGTCGGGCACGCCCTTAAACATCCAGCCTTGTCAAATATCTGAGTGCCACTGGAGATTTTATGGCTAAGCACCGTGCACTCTGTGTACACAGCTTATCAGACAGTATTTGCTTATACTGGGGAGAAGGCTCGCAGATGAGAACAATTATGAGGTCCAAGTGCCGCACACAGAGATAGTTTAATAAATTGCTGATCAATAGATGTCTGGCAGAAGCAGGGAGGGCTCTTAGTGAGGTCAGTACATGACGGTTGGATGGAAAGCATCAAAGCAGAGCTATGAGCAAAATCATACTGAGCACCCCTGTTCCACAAAGAGAATTATGGGCAGAATGATTTCTTCAAGGACAAAACCCAAGAAATTCAAGGCCATTATCAGGGAAAATGACTTACTTCAGTGAGAGGAGGGAGTGGACACAGCTGAAAATAACTGTTTTATCTCAAAGCTGAACCATCCCTCAGTAAATCCACCACCTTGCTTTGACTAATGTGAGCTTTCTTCCCTAAAAACACATTGACCCTTGGGCTGCCCAGAGGCTCCTCCTGATTCAAAGCCCCTTTGGAACAGGAGGGTACTTTGGAGCTGTCATCTCAAATTCCCTGCTAACAGCCTCTAATGTTAGCACCACGAGGCTGTGCAGCACCAGAAGTGTTCCGTGCCTTTGTCTTGACTTTATATTGGATGTAGCCCTTAAAGCCTTTCTCCCAGGCACACAGACACCGGGTTAAACCAGCTTCCTTCTGACCTTCAAAATTTCCAGCCAGATGCAAAGTTTGCACCTTGAGACAATCTTCCTAATTAATCTTCCCACCCTGCTGTGCAGAAGGTAAGTAATAGGCATTAACTGCAGCCCGAGGATTGGAGGAGAGGAACAAGATGTAAAGCTGTTATAATGCAAAAGCTTTTTAGCCCTTCAACCGTGCTGGAAGTGGAGAGATCATCATGCTGTTGTCCAGCTGGTCTTCCCCCAGAACTGCTCAGGTCAGAGCTTGCCCCACGCAGTTCTGCTCTTCAGACCCTGCAGGCTTTGCTATTTCATTCCTGCCAGGCTGTGAAATCTTCCAGCACACGCACAGGTCAGCCTGGCCCTGGCTCTCTGCTTTGGAGAAGTTTACTCTTGGCCCTTTCCTGGCTTTTGTGCCTGCAGTAGCCCTTCCTCTGGGGAAATGCTGGATGTTAGAAGTGTTGCCTTGGGCTGGTGCAAAGTGTTTTACTTACAGAGAGCTGATCTTTGTGCCCACAGAAACAAGGAGAGATGGATGCAGGCAGACAACCTGCCCCTCTGTCCCTGCCTTAGTTTGTATTTCTGCTGTCACTTTCAGGTTTCCCTCAGTGCCCTCCTGCCTCCTCTCTCCTACTGATTTCCTTCCTCCAATTCTCCTTTAAGCAGTCAAGCCCTGGCTGTTTCACATCTCCCTCTGTAAGACACCAAGAGCCTTCCCATAGCATTTATGGTTTGTGCTCAGCTGGGGTGGGTTTCAGCACAGACAGCAACTGCGTGGGGCTTCTGGAAGCCTTTTCAGGACCTCTCACCATCAGCCTCACATTGTGGTGACAGCGACCACAACCTGGAATAACACATCGAGAGACCTTGGAAGGTCGTGAAAAGAAAACTTGGCTAGGAAGTTAAACCTGCAGTTGTGGAAACACAAAATAAAGGGGAGAGGGAACGCAGGGCAATTCCTTTAGATGGTGCACTGTGGGTTCCAGGGTGTGGGGCTGCTCCCTGCTGTGACGAGCTGTTCCTGTGCAAGTGTACAGCGATGCAGTGACAACAAACACGTCAGCTCTGCATGCACATGGAGCTCGGGCTGGGTTTTACCATGCCCTCACTTCTACACTCCTGACCTCAGCACAGGGCTGGCAGCTCCTCCTGTGTGTGCTGCAGGCTCTGCTCGCTGCCCTCCACCCGCTGCCGCAGCGCTGCAGCTTTCCGACAAGCTTTTTTTTCTCCCAAAGACTCAGTTGGATGCTGGTGCCTGGTCTGCCTGCATGAGATAAAAGCATGAGAGGAAAACCCTCTTCTCAGACCTATCCAGCAAAGAATGAACTTACCTAAGCAAAGAAACTCAAGGGCGCAAACAGAACCAAAATCTTTGCAATTTTCTTCTTTTTTTTTTGGTTGCAAACATTAGATTATATGACCCCGGGAGTTTGGATGGCATTAAAAAACAAACAGCTTCATTTCTATTCTATCTCCAAATCTTTGTGTTGGCAACTGAGCGGAGAGCTTTGATCTGCAGCGAGCAGTAGGAGCAGAGCAGCATCCTCCCTCAGCCCTGCAGCTGCTCCACCTTCCCAGCTCTGGGCACTGAAAGGGCCTGCAGACACAGTGCTGCCCTTCTCTTCCTGATAGCAATGCTCAGACCCCACTTCAGAACAGAAAATGAATCTTTGTGTTTTCAGTCCTGTCAACTATTCAGATGTGTTTCATCTCTCCGCACTGACTCACTGCGCTGGCCCAGAGCCAGTTTATTTATATGACTCTCCCATCATTACCATACGTGCCTCAGAAAGCAGCTGTGCTTACAACACATTTTCAACAAACAAACTGAATTATGGGCTTCAGAGCGTGATCCTGAGCCTCCTAGCTGTCCTGCAGCCCGGGGCTCAGCTGCTGGCATTGGAGCATCCCACACTCCTGAACCTTGGAGCAGGCGGGGATCTCAGGGTGCTCCCAGAGCCACTGCTCACCTTCACCCTGCCCTGAACATTGCAGCACCATTGTGGATGCACTTAGGAGGACGACATAGTTGTAATTCCTTCTCGTTAGCTTTGTTTTCCAGATGTTTGCATTTAAAAATGCATTCATCAGATGACTTTGTATGATTAAGGCACTTCTCCATGTGTCACTGGTGACTCGTACAAAAGGTGATGGCTTTAAGTTGCACCAGGGGAAGTTCAGGTTGGATGTTAGGAAAAACGTATGCACCCAAAGAGCAGTGATGCAGTGGTGCAGCTGCTCAGAGAGGTGGGAGAGTCACCATCCCTGGAGGTGTCCAAGAACATGGAGATGTGGCACTGAGGGACGTGGGCAGTGGGCATGGTGGGGTGGCTGGGGTTGGGCTTGTGGATCATAGGGTCTTTCCAGCCCTAATGATTCTGTAATTGTTGAAACACGGCTCTGCTGTGCTGCAGTATGGGAGTTGTGAGATGCCATCAGATGGGACTCCCACCTTAAAGCACTTCCATGCTCTGGATGCTCCTCCACACCCTGGTACAGCTGCAGACACCAATTCATTACCTGTAAGCACTCAGCTCTCATTGTCCAGTTCAAAGGAGTGATCCACATCCCAACCCGAGGCTGTTTGCTGCACTAGGCCCTTGTAACACACCACAGATCACTGATCAGAGCCATCTCCTGCCTCTCTGTCACCTGCAGCCGTTCAGAGGCTGCTTACCAGAAGGAAATGGGGCCGATGGTGATTAATCCTCCAAGCCTACCGAAACCCATTTTGCCCTGCAGAAAGCACCGGGGCCGGATCTGACAGAAGCATGAAACATCAGCCCTGCAGGGTGAACTGGGCAGCACGGTGCCTGCTGGCTGTGCTCCCAGGGCACCAGCAAAGGCTCTGACCCGCCTCACTTTGTCTGGGAAAGGAGCAGTGGTTGTGCTCAGCAACAGTCAGTTTCAGCGTCGACAAGCTCGATGTGAACGCTGCATTGGAGTTTCTCCTTAAAAATACCGCTGTCTCCTGCATCGCTGTGACAAACAGGAACCGCTGCCACGCTCGGCTGCTTCTGCTGACCAAAAAGGGGCGAAGCGGCTGCTAACCCGGATATCCTCCGCGGCCCTTCAAACTTCAGCAGCCGGGGTTTCCCCTTATCTCCAGCCGCTTTCGGCAGCTTCAGGAAGACGGAGGGACGGCTGCGTTCTCCTAGCAATACCCGAAGACCCTTAAAAAACCCCCAGGCAACTACAATGTATCACCCACCGGCCCCACGCACCGCATCTCCCCGGAACGCTGCGGGGCGGAGCGGGACACCCCGCACCTGCCGGGAAGGTCCGGCCCAGGGGCGGGCAGCGCCGCTCGCCCCGCTCCCCCCGGCTCCCCCCATCCCCGCCCCGCCCCCGCGGCGCGGCCCCACCTCGGGGCGGAGCCGGAGCGGCGGAGCAGCGGAGAGCTCGGAGCGCGGCGCTGGGCCTCGGGAGCCGCCGCGGGTGAGTGCGGAGCGGAGCGGAGCGGAGCGGAGCGGAGCTGGGGGAGGAGTGCGGGGCAGCGCTCTGTGCCGGGTGTCCTTCGGACCCCCGCCCGGAGAAGGGCTGCATCTGCGGAGCGCGTCCGGGGCGGTGCGGGCGGGGCAGGGCCGAGGGGTCCCAGCGGCTCCGGGATCCGCGAGCGGTGGCCGCAAATCACGGCGCGGAGTTGGGGGAAGTCGGCTGGCCGAGCGGGCGCTGGAACGGCGCGGTGCTGCTCGCCCCGGGGGCTCCGGGTCATTCCTCGGCGAATTTGTCCGATCTTATCTTGGACGCGGCTGATGATGAAGACGTAATTACCTCTTCAAGGCAGTTCGCTCCCAAGGGGGACCTGCTTCGCTGTTTAGCGTGCTTTCATACCGGGGGTCATCGCGCAGAACCCGAGGGGCTGAGGAGGTACGCCTTGCTTTGCTTTGCTCTTGGGTTTTGCTCGTTGCTTTGGAAATTCTCTCCCCTTTGGCACAATTCAGGTGTGGATGCAATGCTCTTGAGGCAGTGTAAATATAAACAGCCGTAATTGCTGGAACGGCACCGGGCGCTGGCTGTGGCTGTCGGTGTGAGTCCTGCGGGGCTCCGGCAGCTGTGAGCATCGGCCCCTCCGCACCGGGTGTGATGTGCTTGGGGTGACTCTGACAAGGGAACCAGTTCTGGCTCTCTGCTTAACGACTGTGGAACGAGCTCTTTTGCACCAGGGCGATTCTGCTTGAGGACAAAGATGTTTCTAGGTACAGCGTTGCTGAGGGGAGCACAAAGCTGGGAAACAGCACACTGCGCTGGGGCCTCCTGTGCTCCCTGAGAAACACCCTGTGAGCAGCAGCTCGGTGGGCTGCCCTCGTGCTCACCTTGACCTGTGTTGCCCTGGTGCTCCTTGCAGGCAGAGCAGAACGAGGCCCTCACTCCGAGCTGAGCTGTCTGGAGGGGCTGATGCCACGTTCATTGTGCTGAACCTGAGTGCGAAGAGCTTCTTTGCATTTGTGCTGCCCTTGCTTAATCTCTGTGCTAGGAGTTGGAACCAAAATTGTGTGTGATGCTGTAAATCCTTTTCCTCGGTTATTTTTATGGGTTTTGCTTTGTGTTCTGAGATCTCTGGTGGGGTTGAAAAGCCTATGTTCCTTCTGCCTGGAAGACGCATACGATTATTTCATAACCGAACCGAGGTTTGAAGTGGTGAACTTTAGATATCTGTGCTGGATGCGATGAAACCCTGAGATACTGCCTCTGCTTCCTGACATCAGGGGCGCGTGCCCAGCCTGCCCACTGCTAACAATGTCATCTTGTTAGGTCCTCTGAGCTGGAAAGCAGCCCTGTGCGAGCGTGCTGGTACCAATGGTACCGGCTCCCTGTGCCCCCACGTCGCTTCTGCAGCTACTTTGTTGGGACCTCATTTTCCCTGGGTTTAATAATTTATAAATGCTTGTTGCCTCCAGGCACATTTCATCCAGTAAGAAGAAAAACATCGACCAGTGTTTACTGGAATACTGGTTGCAGAGTCTGAGGCTGACAAATAATGGAGCCTTTGTGGATGGAGGGATGTCACGTTTTTATCTTATGTAAATGAGCGAAAGAGCAGAATTTGTCTGAAGGGTCTCTGAGATGTCCTTCCCTTCTTATCCTCATCTTTAAAAATGTCTTCTCTCCTCTTGAGGCGAAGGGGAGTTTAGCTGTGACCTTCCTTAACCTGATACTGGGTGTGAGTCTCCTTTGCTTTTATCTGCGTGTGGCTCAAGTTTGGAAGCTGTCATGTGTTCAGTGGTTATAAATGAAGATAAGAGATGGAGGGCCTACATCTGCACAGGGTTTGTTTCCTTGGCTGGAGAGAGGTCAGCCTTTCTGTGGGCAGTGAATTGCCCTCTCTCATGTGGCAGACCCTGTGCTGTCAGTGCTGTGCTTGGGGTGGCCCATTGCAGGAGGGGAAGGTTGGCTGTCTCCTCAGAAACTGCTCAGAGGTGATGCAGCGGGCAGTCATATCCCGGCTCATTGCCCTAAGGAGCAGATCTTGCCTGCTATCAAACTGGTTCTTCATGCAGAAGCCCCAGCTGCTCTCGCTGCTTTCAATTCCTCTGATTTTTGTTGTGGCACTGAAAATGGAGCACCATCAACTCTTTTGGTGAGCTGTAGCTGAGGGTACGAGCTGGAAGTGCTACAATCCCAGTGCCTGCCTCTGCCTCTCCTCCACTTGATGTTGTGCAGTGGGAGGATGTGACCCCATGCTGAGCATGGCAGGGTTCAGGAGCACTGCGTTGCCCCAAGAGCTGCAGGTGTGAGCAGGGATGTGTGAGCGGGGTCAGCTGCTCGCTGTGTGCTGCTGCTTGAGTTACAGCACCTCTGTGGGCAGCCCTGCCAGCTGGCTCTTCCTTCAGGGATGTTTAAAGAGGCTTATCACAATCTTACTAGAAATCTGTCTTCTTCTGTTAATCTATAGTCTCCTCATCTCCTCTCCACGTGCTCCTATCTCATTCATCTCGACAGCGCCCTTCTGCCGGCTGCTGCACATCCATGCTGGTTCACTGCCCTGCTGCTGCTTGCTCTGCAGTGTAGTGTTTGCTTTATGCATGTATATATGTGTGTATATATGTATGCGTGTGTGAGTATGTAGAGAGGGAGATCTGTATCCACTTAGATTATATCTACATAGATAGCTATAGAGATAGATATCCATGTATCTGTGCATACATGTAACTAGTATGGCAAATATAAAAATGAATATAAATAAAGCTGATAATAAATATATACAAATAATTGTAGATATAATTTTGTATTATTTTTAAGGTGATGCTGGTGCTTTTATGGCTGGGGTGAAGGTGAGCAGCCTGAGTCTGCTCCTGTGTTGGGTCTTGCTTGGCTGCTCAGTGTCAGGCATGGTGTCAGCCTGAGCTCATTGGGAGCCCTTGGCAGCCCTCCTTGCTGGGGCATGTCCTGCTTCTTGGGGTGATGCATTTCTTCCTGCTGGACCTTCTTGCAAATCTCACAGCAATGTGTAAATACAGTGGCTAGCAGAGCCACGCAGACGCCTAGAAGAACGAATAGCTCCAGGAACACTGAGCCTCGATCCCCATACAAAGCAAACACATATATCAGTTGATGTGATTAGGTGAGCTGCAGGGTTGCTTGCTCTAGAGGCCTGGGTAACAAGTTCACGGCCTTTGACAAAGGTTCTGTAGCCAACCCTGCTCACAGAGACTGCCCTGAATCCTGCAGCCAGGAGTGGTGCCCCTGCCTTTCCTTGCCCTTCCTCCCACACAGCATGCTGGTGCTGCCTTGGAATATTGCTAGCTGGAGAGGAAGAGATAATGTGTTTTTTTTTCCAGAATAGTCAGCTGATGGAATCTCATGGGAAGGGGTTGCAAAGCAGGAGGCAGGCGGGTGGGCATTCCAGCTCCATGCCTTTCTGTAATTCAGTGGAAGAGGGCTGAAACACGAAGTGTGCTTGTTGGGTACTCTTTTCTGTTTGCATTTGAAAGAGCTTGATAGGCTGTGATTAATGAGGCTAAACAGAACTTTGATAAGTGGTAAACTCCAATGAACCTGAAACAGAAATGGCTTTATAAGGTGGCTTTGCTTCCATGCAAAGCACAGATTGTGGGTTTCTTACAGCGCTGTTTGGTTTGGAGCTGGCAGTGTGCAGCATGGGCTGTTCTGTTGTACAGCTGGGCTGTTCTGTTGTACAGCGGGAGGAGAAGCTGAAGGATGTCTGTATGGCCGCAATAGGGCCATACAGCAGCTCCTGTCTCTGTGCAGACCCTCCTGCTTTCTTTTCTGCTCTAGGTTAATGCTCCCAAATTTGGGTCATCAGATCTGCGTCCCGGAGCCCCGCATGTCCCCATATCCAGGCTCTAATTAAGGATGCTCTAAAAGCGGTGGGCTGGCTACCATGGCATTGCAGATCGGAACCATTGGCCTAATCTATTTTTAAAGTGAATTAAACTAGAAAAACGCAGTGTCACTCTAGAGTAAGGAGTCACCTGGGGAGGTAACCCAGAATAGTTGTTCTGCTTTGACTTTGCACCCTATCTCATTTCAGAAAGACTTTTCTTTCCGTATACATGAAAGCTTTGTAAGCACATAATAGAGGGCATGCTTTAAGCAACCAGTGGAAAATATCTTATCGTTCTTGAGGTGTTCCCTTCATTGCCTCCTGGCTGCTTGCTCTCTAACATAGGCATCCTTTTCCCTAATAAATCTGCCCTCTTTCTTGCTGCCCCCTGCAGAGATCTGCGCTCCCTCTGTGCAGCACAGCTCACACAGCATCAGGTGCCCATATCCAGCCGATAACCTGAGCTGCACGCTGGGGCTGGGTGTAAATTATTAGCAATGCCAGACCTGCTTGCTGTGCTCAGCTCGTGTTGGCTGGGAGGAGTGGGGATCTTTGCATGGTGTTTTGAGTTGCGCTGAGACGCTCTGCTGTTACGCTTCTCCTTTGGATTTGTCAAGCTCAAGTTAAATGTATATAATTTTAACATCTCATGATTCTTTGGGGGCTGACTCATGTTTTTTTGGCCTGGATGAATCATAGCTCTTGAACTCCATTGCTAAATTCATTATGCAACAATTATAGGGTTGGAAATGCCACCCTAAGTGCACACAAACAAGCTGGCAATTTTCCCCTCCTTTTCTCTCACCCTGTGCTGCCAAGAGATCTCCCTTGGGAGTTTGCTCGTTAGCTCTTAGCGCCGTGCTGCAGGTGAGGGGCTGCTCAGCACCCTGCATCACAGCACTTTGCCCCTGAGCTGGAAAGTCCATTGTTTCTGAAGGGAGGAAAGAGATCAGCCAGGAGGGGAAGCTGGAGGTGCACAGCTCTGCTCATCCATGCTAGTTGCCTTCCCTTTGTTGCAGATGGCATGTGTGACACTGTGGGGTAGTGATGGCACCTCTTGGTCTGTATGGGGAAATCCCGAGGATGAGCCATTGCTTTGCAGCAGTTCCACATAGCAACGGGGGATGCTGGCAGCATCACACAGGTGTGA